AAATGAGAATGTACGCACACAAAGCAATAACGGGAGTGGTTATTGTTCACATCATAGGCGAGAAAAATAAAAAAGATAGCAAGGACGACGCTTGCTCGTGTGCAACTATCTTGGTTCGACAGGATACAGAAATCCAGTTACTATAGTAGTAGCCTTTATCCAATTTCATGCAAGGCGTTTAGAGTGACTCATCCTCGAGTAGGGTTGTGGCTCTATCCACTGTCTGTTGTACATTAGTGCCAGCAGCTGGTGGTCAAGGCCTATAGTACGTAGTGTAAATGTGACAGAATTTCGTCAAGTCGTTTTTTGAAAAGGGAGAGTGTGGGTGCATTAATTACATATTCCGGGGGGGGGGGCGTTCAAAGGCTGTGACACTCGAAGGGGGAAATGGTTTCACCGACATTCCAGGCGGCTGTACTGCTTGAGCAGCTTAAACTGATGACCTCATAATGGGGTGTTTTGACTGAGTATTAGAAGGGAATGGCATGGGTGCTTGGGGTTTCTCAGGATCTGGTACACCATTATGAGATCGCCCCTTAGACACCGATAACTTCCACTGTATATTTTGAGGGTCTTCAAAGAGAGTGGGTAGGGGAGGCTGGCCAAATCTCTTACGCTGTTCGTTGCCCTACGTTGTGCATCTCGAGCGCGGTGTGATGGTGTTTGAGCCAAGGTTGCCACGCTTGAATAGCATATTCCGCGTGCAGCCTCACGTATGCACTAGGCATTTTTGGAAAGATCGAAGGGTCAAACTTCCCGAAAGCTCTGCGAAGAAGACCGAGGTACTGGGTTGCTTTCTTAGCTGCATTTTCAGTCTGCCCCAAACAACCGAGGTCGTCTTGAACTATCACACCGAGATCGCACTCGTGAGAAGCCCGCTGTAGAATTTGTGGTCCTAGGTGGTAGTTGTGCATACTCTTGTGCCGTATGCTGAGAACTTTGCACTTGGGGACGTTGAAAAGCAGCATGTTCTCGATGGACCATGTGAAAGCTTTTCCAGGTACTCCTGTAATATTGTGTGCTCCTCCACTGCAGCTATAGTACGCCATACCTTGAGGTCATCGGCAAATAGCAAGCAGTTAGAAGATAGCACACTCGCGAGATCGTTTATGAAAGCCTGACCCCTTTCTACCACTTCAGCACATGATTCGCATTTGCTCTTCCTACGAGACATGTTCACAGTAGGCGTGCTGTTTTACCGGGTAGCAAGAGGATAGAGATACGGATGCACCGTTTCGTGGCTATCGGCGCTGGTTTGAGGTCAGCGGGTTCAGGGGTGTCGCGGCCAGATGAGTCAAACGTTCCTTTGGGTAGATAGGAGACGTGCGTGCTATCGATGCAGCCGGTAAGTGGGTAGGCAGCGATGCGACGTAGGATTGAGGCAAAGCAAGGTGACTTGGAAAATACTGTCTAATGACAACAGTGGCTGTTCCAAGGGCGGATCAAATTGACGACTATCGCTTTGTACAGCGACTTGAAGGAATGGTAGTAAGCTGATCAGGTGACTCTCAAAAAGATCTTTAAAATAAGACCACAAGAGTTCTTGTGCGACGAGAGGAAAAATAAATCCTCCCATAAGGTTCAAATACGGTTGACTTCGAAGTTGCAAGAGCACAGTTTGCTGGTGATCCGCGAATGATAGATCCAATAGATGAACAGTGGTAGGAGGAGCTCGCGGAGCCAAATCGAATGATGGCACGTAGGTCTCTGTGAGAATAAATCCAAAGATTTAGAGGCGAATAACGCAGGAGGACAGTTTGTTGCGACCGCTCGGCAGAGCTTATGTCTGAGATGCTCCACTGCCCACTACAACTCAGTGAACGCAACGAAGTAGCGCTGCAGTACAACCTCGAGAACGGTTGTGATTGGACGATTCAGTGCCCACCGCATCACAGAGCGGTCACATACGCATCGTAAATCCTCTCATATATATACAAATTAACAGCTCATTTTGTGCAGTGCACGGCTATTGAATACGATCTTGTAGTGCTAACAGATGACGGTTTAAGCAGCTAAAGTAGGCCGAAAAGGTGTCACGTAAAGCCAAAACGGAGGGTGTACGTGCGGTCGAACCACCCACCTGCTTGCAGATGTTCAGTATTTACATGAGCTCCAATGTTTGGCACGTTTCAAGTCCTGATAGCTACGGAAAAAGGCGACTTTAGCACAACTGAAATTTTGCAGCGAAAGGTGAGTAAGAATGTTGTTGTTCTACTATCAGGCCAATACAGATCCTAAGCTCTGGGAACCTACGACGAACAATATCGACGCCTGTTTCGTAGTCTGATAACGGCGCATCAGATCCTGAGGAACCCTAACCCCGTTTGTCATCATATTCTAAAACAACATTACCACGGATAAATCATTAGCAGATGCAGCCGCACAGATACCCGGTTGGAGTGCAATTTGCGTATTCTTCTTATAAACAAACCGTTTGAACGTTTTTCAACTCCCCACGTCACCAATATTCCAAAAAGTCCTGACAATACACTAACACATTCACACCACAAAATATATCCTTGCCGTGCTTAGGTGTCAACTTAAACCATCGATGGACGTTTATTCAGTTGACGCGACCTTGAGTTCCAAACTATCCACCTGACCATACGGGGTTTGTCAAGCCTTTGCCACTTTTGGCCTTGATAAACCGTTTCTCTGTTTTTCATAGGCACCGAAGAAACGAGATTTATTGTTTTGTTCTTGGGGTCTTGTTTGTTATGGGGGAGTATTAGTTAGGAAGTTCGTGGTCTGAAAACTAGAGGAGAAGTTTGATTGAGATTTAACCGCTCTCTGAATAGAGAGTACTTGATACAGTTCCGGCACCAGAAGTTTGGACTGGGGAGTTAGTTGTTGAGCAAACTTGAAGGTACATATTCCTCCTGCTTCATCGAAGTTCAGTTGAATAATTCTTAATCAGTTGGTTAAAACCAACTGATGTCACTTATCACCATCGGCAGAATGCAACACTTCTAGCAGCTTGCGCACGACACTCATGAAGCGCAGGTTTCTTTAATTCATCAGTTAAATGATACAGTAGAATAATTGTGTTATCCGTCTACTTATAGCGGTGTCCAGTAGTCGCTATAGACCGATTTAATGACCGTAGAGATAACATAAGGAAACGAACTAAAAAATTAGTGACGAAACGTACAAGCAAGCTAGCTAGATGGCACCGAAAGTGTCAAGCTAAGGGAGGAAAACAGAAGTAGCCAGACATTGCGATCCTAGACCGGTATCTGAAAGCGCGTCCGGGTTGGTTGACTAAAAGCAACGTGGTAAACGTTCCAGTGGGTAAACTGCCTAATTCTCCCAAGTAAATTGTGAAGCTAGGATTTTGGTACAGCTTACATAACGTATCATAAACAAACACGGAAATCTGCAGGCTACATACTGTCATGTGGGAGCTGGTTTTGTATGGCTGCAATGGATGCCGGTTTACTTAAGCTTGGTGGAAACAGACTGAACGGCGAGTTCCGAAAGTGCAAGAGTTGAGGGCTTTATATAGCATTTTTATATTCTTCTTAGCTCATCGCTGGCTGCCACTGGGTTTATTGTATGAGGTAACGAAGTAAAGCTACTAGTTAAAAAGCACACCCATGCAAGGCGTATTGCCACTGACTTGCCGGCGTATAATAAAACGGTGCAGTACTACAAAGAGTTGTATGACGAAACGGGCTTACAAGGTATGTAAATAACAACTGCCGCAAAGGTGAGTTAAAGAGGTAGTCGCTTGCCTGCTATTCTGCCACACTTGTGCACGACCATATGAGACATGGAATGGCGAGTGGAATATTTTGCATGGAGGCAGTTCCCCTACAAACAGTCCCACGGATGGCTGTATTACTTTATTTGAGGGTCTGGCTTTATCTGCATTTGCACAGTTCGCAATTTTCCGATCCTTCTAATATATGCACATTGTCACTCACTCCAAAAATCAGCACAATTACCTGCATTTTGTTATCCGGCTGTACATGTTGATCAGACCCCTGTACTGTCGAGGAATATACCGATTACTTATGCACTTATTGGAACAAGGCAGTTTGTACACATATATAGCTTTGTGATGTAGTGGCAATTACTTTAACCCAATTCAATTGGCGACCTTGACCAATACCTTCTCAGCGATACCTCACGAGTAATACAGATCAGGGATAGCTACATTTGCTAATATGCATTCGTTAAAACTACTGGAAAACATAGGCGTCAATTGCATATAAGAAATTAGCGCCCGACACCGTATCATTTACGATTGGTCTTTTTGGAAGGAAATTAAGAAATCTAGGTACAGAATTAATATTTCCGGTGTGACAACACCATGACCAACCGCCAACCAAAAAGACGCAGCGTTTCGGAATACGCTTTGTAGCGGTATCGGCGGTCGAATTTTTTTATGCTGATGCAACTAAAGCTTAATGACTGTATTCCGGTTTGTTGTTACTTGTTTAAAGCGTATGTACTTTTCACAGGTTTCTTAGTAGCATTACACCTTGTACTAGGCTTACCAACATACAGTAAAGTATGTAGTACAATGAGGGTAATAAACGTGTAAGTAATTCACGAACTTACGGAAACATATTGTTTTTGTTTATTCGCATTGATATCTGATGATCTATATCTTATCGTCACCGTGTCGTTTAAAAGTGACCGATTAATTAATTAGCACGCAGCAAATGTCCCTCAATCAGTCTCCGAATTTCAACACATTTGGGTATCGCGGTGGTGGTAAGTAGCTCAGAGCCAGCAGATGACTTTTATGGATTGGTGCCAAACTTACCCACTTTCCTGCCCACTGAGTTAGCGCTACGGTAGAGCATCTTAGCTATACAAGTCTGCTGAATAACACAGTCCCGGAATATCACCGTCTGTAACATACTCAAGATATTTAATACTCGCGTGAATATGGTACGTGCAGCTAACAGCATCGACTAAGCCATTAGATAGGGAAATTCGGATGAGTTAACGGTAGCTAGGACCAACAGATTTATTGATTTACACATTTCATGGTGCAAAACCACATGCCAATCCCTGTCACTTCTTTTATCTTCCTTCGATTCGCCTTTTCAAAGCTTCGACATTCAGCGGCAAATGTTCTTCGTGAAACCTGGATGTTTTACAAACATACGCGCCTTGTAAAACGGGTCAATCACTCCAGAGTAAGAAGACATCAAAGAAAATTTCTTACAGCTATCAGCCGGTGAGCGTTTTTCAGCCGTGAATTTGCCATGCTTTAAATGAATGTAGCCACTCAGACATGGTTAGTGAGTAATGAAGTGACGAAAGGACCTCACATTTTCAATATTTGAGTAGAAGACTATGTTGTTATGTTTACTACTTTGAAATATTCGTCCAGTGTTGTAAGTTGTTTCCGAGTGAACTATATCTAGGATGATAGTAAGCAGGAGATGGCAGTTGCTTTGAGCGAAAAGTAATATAAGGAGACTAAAATTGTGACAGGATGTTAGTTCCTTCATACTTAATGCTCTATTGATTTTAAGGCTCATAGTTGAACTATTCTGGGTAGGTCCCAAGTTCCATCGAGGCTACACCTGCGCGACGCTGACTTTCGACCTGTCATGAAGATTATCAAGTACCCTAAAATGGTCGGCGTGCGCGGCTTCCGCACAGCATCCAAGCAGGGATGAGTGTGCACCCCATGCTTTGCGTGAGGAAGTGAATGCAGTAGCAATGCTAGCCAGTACAGCACTGCGTTCTCTCTCTTTCTCTCTCTCTCGCCCTTATGCGGTTGTGCGACCGGCCTTAGTCCTGCTGAGTAATAGTATCAGCCACTGTTCATTCAACGTTTGGGATTCGCGGGACCGCAGCCGACTCGAATTCCGTTCAGCCGCTCTACTCTCGGAAAGCAGTAACGAAGCAGAAATTCGTTTGTCATACGTAACCCGATGAAGGATTATCTCAAACAAGCTTGTTCATTATACTGGAGGTACATCCACTGATCGCTGGAACCTTCGGACTGCAAATTCCAAACTGACACCGTAAGCTCTGATATACATGATAGACTATGGACTAGTTCTTGGTGGTGTTTAACATATATCTCACTAACCTGGTCTCCACCTGCAGATTCCAGTAAAACTAATTCAGTCATGTAGCTGGATTCTTGGAGTGAATGGTCTTTGTCTGGCCAACTTGGAGTAGCGAATATTCTGGTGAGGTTTGGTACCTTTATTGGGAATTAAAATACTACTAAACATCAAAATTGCAACTACGCAACCCATTTTCTGGGGTCCATGATTAAAGTGGTGGCGTAGAAAGGGCAGGCAGTTTACTCGCATGCGAACTGTGTGCAACTAATCTCGACATGGCATTCTTGAATAAACATCAGACCGCTGAAAAGTGACACGCAGACGCATAGGTATGGCCAGAAGACAACGACGACGATGCAGATGTCCCACTTCAACCACGAAGTCGGCAAATATTATGAACAGTTTTGGTTACGCTGACATTAGCTGATTTAACAAACCACATCAATCCCGCATAAGCTGTTCTTAATCAGGATGAACACTAATCATCCAGATTATATTCGCATGCCATAAAACAAAATGTGGATGACTTTCTCAAGCTAGTATCAAAGTACGACATCAACTTGTGTACGAATGGCTTATGTTGGTAATGAGAGCATACATTTTCGTTCATTTGCGTACCAACAGTTTAATATGACTATGTCATTACGGACAAAAGAACACAATTTGTTCCAGGTAGCAGAAGGAAACAACTGGTTATGACAAACCCGTCTAGGCCCGGTCTTATCAGCACAACTTATGTTTTAAGACATGCTTCTTCCTTGTGCATAACTAGCCATAAAACAGCTGCACCGGTACTAAGGTCACATCTAATCGGAGGACCCAAACATGCTGCCATCCAAGTTAACTCAATACTGGCCGTTACAGAACTCGGCGTTACCGATGGGATCTTCCTGTACATCGATGTTCCTCTACTATAACATCAGCCTTGTTTTTGTTGAGATGTTTTTGCACCATCTGTTTTCCCCGCATGGCCAAATGGTGGCTAGCAAGCACTCAGTTACAGTCGGCCATATACCAAATTCATATTTTTGAAGCGTAGACATGGTTGGCAAGATATGATGATTACATTAACAGCGTACTCCTAATACAACCAGGGATTAATTTGTGGTAGACGACTTTACGGTTGTGGTTGAGTTACCTGATTTGGGTTGGATGCGAAAGGCCATCTCAACTGGGACACCAGTTAACCTCGATGCAAACCTCGGTTACCTCGATTACTAAGACCGCATACGAAGCGGTTGCCGGTGTTGCTTGCTCTCGACGTCGCACTCTACGATGCGGGAGGGGGGGGGAACGGACAGCACATTTTTACCTGTTCACCCCGAAAGCAAAGCACACAGATTGACGAAACTATATGTAATACTCAGCGTATAGTAACTTATGTGGCGTCTTGCGCTTAGAAATTCGTTGCGGTACTCTCCGATGCAGTTGGCGTATCTCACATCAGCGCACGAGGAGGTTCGCTAGCTAATAGCACTCGGTTTCTTCTCCAAATGGGAGTCAATTAATCGGATGCGATGAAGCAATCACCAAGATATAAATCTGTGTCGCAGCCGAGTTCACGATCCCTGCGCGCGGGCAGCCAGTACCCACACACGAAATGCAAATTTTCGACAATTTGTGTTTCATTGCACTTTGCAGTATTGACTTCGGGGTACTCGCGTCCCACTCTGAGCAGCAGGCTGTGTCGCCCTGTACAATTCCGGTGCTTTCCCTGTCAAACGTCTGTCCTTACGCCGAGGTACTTATGAAGTGTACATATGAGTGGGTAGTTAGGAACAAGGTTCACAGTATAGATGGGGTCAATATGGACCGGTATGAACAGGCGTTGTGTGCGACGGGAAGGAAAGAAGCAAGTGCTAGTGATGGCACATTTTGCTCACTTCACTGTCGTGTGCTGCAGATGAAGTAAGTCTTGGTAAACTCCGCGATGACTGATGTGTCATGTACTCGTGTCGGGATAAGCGTTTTATTGTTGAGTGCCATCTATTAGACATCGACGTTGTCCGCGCCCGTACCGAAGAAACGACTTGAACGCACTGTGAAAGACAGTATAAGACAATCATGGAACATGGCGGAAAGTACACTACACGAACTAACCTACGCCGCCGTCACAGAACTTAACCCGATTCCGACTCAGATGGCAAACCTAGGATGCCCGAACAATATCAGCGGTCAACTCATGATACCAGAATCTCACTGGCACTAATCACAGGGAGTCAGTGATCTAACTGCTTCGTACCTCCATGGCCAAAGTTATCGGGAGGAGCTTGATGATATTCGATCCTCTTACCATTACTGCTGCAAATAATATTGATACTAACAATAAGCATAATATTAATGGTAGTTTACCTTAGTGACTGAAGAGCACTTAGATAAGAAGACTTGCATCGTCACCAACAGCCCACGAAAATTTGCGTCCACAGCTACTTACGGTTCATATGGGCATTATACAGCTTGGATACAAAAATAACAGCAAATTCATCGATCCACTTAATTAATGTGATTCTTGTTGTCATTGTAGGCTGCGAAAAGCTAAGGATGATCAAAGAAAACTCAAGGAAGATGCGAGCTCTATGGTTGACATAGCAAAGGTGAATTTTATTATTCGCCCATTCACTATGGTCTGTGTGTGTATCGTTCTAACATAACCGTAAAGTGCACACTCTGCTTACATACAATGCTGACAATCAAGTTAGTATGTTAAACCAACCTTGTCCTATGCTGAGACTGATATTGCATTCGTGATGCTTCTTCACTGCAGTTGGGCTTAACCAACTTGCACATAAATCTGGTCTTTTTAAGCTGGGTAAATTTCATGCCACTTTATTTGGATTGTTTTTCCTACCTGAATAGTCTTTTATCAACTTGCACTCGTTGCTTACGCTTAGTCTTATTATCTTTAATTTTATCGAGTTTGTGGCATTTTTCGAATAACATCTGAACATGTAATTATCGCGAATTCCTTGCTAACCAAGTTACTTCATATTGTAATTTAACGAGGAGTTATGTCAACTTAACCGTGTGCTTCAACAGATATATTTTCTTTGATAATGTCATAACAAGTGATTGGCTGTTGCTTCAGATACCCGGGGTGGATGCGCATGATATGCATGTTGACAAGGTGCTTAGCTGTGCATTACCCACTACCTCCTCCATACTGGCTCCAGGAGACAGTTGATCGTTGCTGGAGGAGACGGTGCGTACGGTCCTTGTGGTCGGTCATATTCCTTCGAGTTTACACTGTATATGGGGTGTGTGGTTGGACTTGTGGGGGGTGCAGCGCAACTCATCCATGCTCCCTCAATAGGCGCAGGCATTCTGTGGCTGGCCACAGTGACAGCCAAATTCTTAACTGGATGCCGCCAACTACGTCAAACCAACCCATGCTTTTAGTCGATCCATCCGTCTCGCTACTAACTAGAACTATAGTGAAATGCCTTGCGCGTTTGGATGACGTTCTTGGCCGATCTACGAATTTGCTTTAGATAGTCCTAACGTGAAAGCCTAACAGTGGGGCTTGGTGCAGAAACTATACTGCGAGGTATAGACTGAATAGATTCCAAAGACTTCTGCACCAAACCTTTCGATGAGATCTTATCGGCTAGCTAAATTGTAATAGCTCTCATACTTCAAAGTAAGTTGAACTGAAAATTATCGAATCTACAAACTTCCTACTCAAGCCACCAAATCACGGCGCTTTAAGATCACCATCGTCTGCAACCGGGATGTTCAAGCAAAAACAGTAATAATAACGAGTATACTAATATATAACTTATCGGCACTGGTGAACGACTCCCGGGGCAATATGCAAGTATCAATGAAACAAAGGCATACAAGGAGTGCAAAGGCTCATGCTTAAAATGGTCCTTTGGAGGGTCGAGAAGAACAGAGTGAAAGCAGCGTAATGCGGGTCAGTTAATCTGAGTGCGTGCTGGTGAACTCACAAATACCTTCCCACGGTAAGAATTATACCATCCTTTTATTAGAAGTTGATAACCTATTTGCATGTAGTGTGAAGCTTCCTGACAAATATAAGTGGTGCAAGGAACCATCAAAGGCTTTTTAAACCTCTTCAGTTTAGAAATAGAACTAACGCACGAAATAAGGACATTACATGTTTGGCAAAATGGAAGGGAGGAAGCGTTCTGGCGGCGTTCCAGCCGGCTATATTATGTTATCAATAGTTGTCGGTGGCTTATCAGGTAGATGAGGCAATAAATGTGCATGAGTTTCTTCAGGATTTAACAAGCGGTTATGAGGTATACCTGAGAGTGCCGATACCGAGCACTATACATTCCGAATACTTTTTATCTGCTTTACTAGAGCCAATGAAAATACGTTTACATTCTTACATGTCATTCAACGCGTAGTCTCGTTACCCGTGAGGTCATGCTTCGGCTACGTGTGCCACATATGTATGACATTTTACGAGGGTTCTCACACATGCGTTAAACAGCTTGGGAAGGTCGCTAGTCTAAACCGACCAAACGCATCGCGCATAGGGCCCATATGCCTTTTGTTGATGTCCCTTGCTCCTTCGGCTTATCTAGAAAAGTTATGATCCTTCTCAGGTCATGATCCTAGGAGGCTTTCCGCAAGATGGGATCTCTAAGTTTCTATGCGTTTTCCAGATAATGCCGTAATTTAAACCGCTTTACAAGTAGCTGCGTTAAAGTTTAGATTTATCTGCGTCCATTCAGGAACACAATCCAGGCCACGTTGGAGGTAAGCGTGATCTTTATTGCTACAAAGTGCACGCCATGTCTACACGTTACAGGTGCGAAGGAAAACGTCCGAGGGGATGACAAATGAAAATCCTTAGCAAACACTAAAAATAAGCGCGATCCCACACCGGACATTGCGTTCCATTGTTTGGTGGCTAGCGAAGCTCTATCCCGTACGTAAACCCCTGGCCACGCGCTGCGTGGAAGACCCCATGGAACTAGCGGAGACACCAGAACAATCCTTATTGGGTTCGGAGTTCGTGTACTCTATAGACGTGGATTCTCAATTTAATAACGTGCTCCTTCAGGAAACACTTGATGAATTGTTTCATTTTATCATGAGCCAAAACATGCTTGTGGGCATCCTCGTGGAATATTTGAGGGATATGTTTCTATTGTGCACAGAAAATGTACGTTTTAGGTTTATGGTAATGGCATACGAGAAGAGCGAGGGAGCCGCCATGGGTAGCCCGGTGGGACCGGTTTTGTTATATATCTTTCTCGGCTTGATCGAAAGTCAACTTGCCGCCAGTATCGGTGAGGGGAAACTGTACAAACGTTATGGTATTCTGGTATTCACAAACAAGCTTCATTTTAACCGCTTGTCAACCATTCTAAATACAATTCACCCCAAGTTATCGGTCTCCCAAGCGATGGAGCAACACGGCTGCCTGTCATTTTTGGATACCCTTACTAAGAGACGGACAGAGGTACATTGCAGCGCATTGTTCACCGTAAGACGAACTTGGGTGCGCAGTACCTTAATTGTTCCAGTTTCGACCCGGTTACATACAAACGCGGCCTAGTGCAAACACTCTTCGACAGGGCCAGACGAATCTGTAATCCGGAATTGCAGGAACTTCAAGAAACGTATCTGCATAGGATCTTAGATTCGAATGGTTATCCAGAAAACTTCATTCAAGTGCACGGCGGATACCCAAAAAATACTGTCGGTGCTAACGGCGGAGAAAAGCTGCTCATTTGGTTTTACGGTTCAAGGGGGTCCATGTGGTAAATGATATATGACACAAGCTCAGGTTCGTCCTAACGCGCACGCACACGACTGCGGAGTTACGCCTCATTCACAATACCCGAAAACTTGTTCATCATGACCGTCAGAGCAACTTTTTGGAAATTTCGGCCACTCAGGTAATTTATCAATTCGGCTGCAGTTGCGATGTCGTTTATATAGGCAGCATTAACCGTGCATTAGCTCATAGGGCGGCTAAACACTTGGGAAATGTGGTTGGAATGGATGATGACACAACAAACCAGTGACCACCAACCGGAGTCCGTCATCATCCATCACAAAGCCACTCACGACAACTAGTCACCATAAGAACCCAAAGACTGATTTCAAGGTACTATTACGCATCAGGAACCCGATAAGATTGGCGCTCAGTGAAGCTTTGCTAATCAGGTCCTATCAACCTGTGCTATATGCACCGAAAATATTGAAGCAATCAAGTAGATTGCATTGCTCTTGATTATGAAATTTTGATTGGCGTATCAATTTTTCCCATGTATATATTTGTATAGGTTGCTCCTTATATTTTATATGCGACTTATGAGAGCAATCGAATGGTTGACATATCGCAATCTGTCTTCTGTCTGCTTTGATGAAGTGGCTAAAGGGTACCTACTCTTTCACATCAGATTCCACTTCGGTCGGGTCTGAAAAAGATCCTCGAATACACAGTTGCAGCCTCCATTTGCGAAGAAGTTCCAGTTACACTCAAGGACACGACTTATGATTCCATGGCTTTGCAGGCTGTGATACAGAATGCGGTGACCCAGGCGATCGAGGCTTTGGAAAAGTCCATATGCATGACATCGTGCTTGGTTCCAACCTCGGCGGTTTCCGTCCAACTATCTCGTGTCATCAGCAGCTTGGTGGTGCAAAACAGTGTTGACTGAAATCGTGCAGCCTCGGTCTCAAAAAGTTGCAAATTCTGACTAGTCCACGAAAGATTCGGAGACAGCAACTGCCACCAGCTCCGAGAGCAAACAGTGAAGTGAATGACTCATAATTAGCAGCATCCAAAGGGCTACCGCCCCTAAAATCTTGGGGACTTAATATCATGCTTCCACATAGTCGGAACATGTTGATGATTTAAGGCCCCTTGAAAAAATTGCGATGGCGGTTCGGCTAGCTTTGTTGCCGGAACATCCAGGGCTTTCAGGCGAAAAGTATTGGCAGCCCAATGCAGTACAAGAAACTTAGTTGGCACGAATGCTGAACTAAAGGACATTCATACATCTTATAGTTGATAACTTGAATGACAATGTGACACGAGCAAGCTGCACATGGGAAAATTGGAGCGTAATGTAGGCGCATAGGATTGGCCGCCTAGAGGGTGCTTTGTGTCTGATATCTTTTGTTACAAGTGAGAGGTGCAATGCACTAACTTACGAAGGTTTTTACATGCGTGTACAATAGCCTGTTTCCAGCCTGAAACCTTTTAGTTAGGCAATACTGATGGGTTAATTTGCCTTCACATACAAGTGTGATACCATGTTTGTGATTAACCAGGAAATTCCGATAAGTTTTGTCACCAGAGTTGCCTTTGTAAGCAGCTCATGCTACATCCCCTTTTCCATCCTTTCCAAGTCCCGCATCTGAGAAATGCTGGCACCATTTGCGGAACGAGGTAGTCTGATTTCTACAGCTCTTGTGAGTTTGTTGCTGATTCTGCCAACGAACTCCCTCCAGACGTTGTCCAGGTGACTTTTGTTTGAGAACTCCTAACTGAATACTCTGACGTGTTCTGTTAGAACGTGGTAGTGCGTGCTTGTATGAGACTATTCCTTGTGTTCAGCTTGATATTCTTTATGGGAAACATGTTTGTGAGTACATGGTCTGGTATGAACGGTTTGCTTGTCAGAAGGAATCTGTTGGGCAATGTGACATGCCCATACAATGG